TCTGCGACCGAGCTCAGTGATGTGCGAACTTGGTACTCTATTGACTGTGGTACGGATCAGGCTGCGCCCCCAGAATTCCCATTTACTGGACCATTTTTTAAAATTATTATATTATCATTTTTTATAATTATTTATTATATTATAATTTCTTATAATTATTTATAATTTATTATATTATAATTTTTTAATTTTGTGTTTCAAACTTTATCCTACCTGGGATGTCTACTGGACTCTTGTTTGGACAGATTTAGGTGAGTTATTCCTAAGATTTACTAAGAATTACAGGCCTACAATATAAACAACAAATTTCCATGCAAAAAATTGTACCGCTTTTGGTACAAAATTCCTGACATAATCATACCGCCAGGGAGGTTAAGGGACATTTTCCCACCTCCACATATTGGTACAGTGCATTAAAGATGCCTTCTTGCTACATCTTTGGTATAACATCCAGCAAAACACACCTTCCAGGCAAATGATGTAAAACATGTGGAAAATGCATTTAAGAGGCAGAGGGGTGAAAAAGGCCTTGCTGTGCAACAGCCAAGTGACCATACAATGAAAAAAATTGAGAGAAGTATGTTCATATGCTTTAGGGTGCATTCATACCTATGTGTTTTGGTGTATTGCGAGTGCAGAGTTGTCCAAAACTCCTGCATTCTAAATCTTTGGTGTGGTTGCCGTAAAATTCATCTTTCATAGAGATGAATGTAAAAAACTTGTAAAGGGCGTGTCAAATTCTAAAATGTGATACACCTTACCTGCAAACTTACTGGCCACAGGAAAAAGATAAACTCCCAACAGAAAATTAGCATTGTTTTGCCAGAAAAAGGAAATTCATAATAAAGAGGAAATAAGGGAAACAATTATAATGCTGAAAACTATAAGATAGGGGGGTCATTCATAAAAATTCCACCTGGAACATGTGCACAGCACGACAGCCTCTAGATAGCGCTGATCAGCGTAGGCATTTTCTATACTCGTCAGCAGCATCTAGGGGCGCTAGTGCAGTGAAAACATGTCCGGTGGAACTTTCACTGATGCACCATTAGGCGTTAGCTGGAAGTCTGTTGCTATGGAGTATAAAAGTGACTGCTGTCTGCACGCTGTCAGGAAAGGCCAAGGTATACAACGTAGCGAAGATAAACCTATATCTCAAGCACAATATTCAATATCTCATCAGCTGTAATATAATCACATGTAAACATTTAGCTACTATCACCTCTCCATAGGTCAGTTCCCAGTAAAAATCGCAGGATGAAAAGCAATCTAACCCTGGATGTCACTGAAGAATAACATATCAATTATGTGACTTCCTGTAGTTATATAAGAAGTTAGATAATTACACCACAATATATAACTGTAATATGGGACAATGTCACATATATCTAAAGGCGATTAGTGTGTCCTTCTGGAACTTAATTACTACCATCGTCACAATTACACTGTACAACAATCAGCGATGAGAGGGCAGACAGCAACTAGAGAAATCTGCAACATAAATCAAGTGGACATGTAATGACATTTCAAAACAAAAGATGCTTGTATTACTTGGACCATAGAATAAAGTTAATTTTAATGTAAACTTCCCATAATACCAAAACAGGAAAAGTTCATTCAAGGTTCAAAATATAGGGAGCTAGATAAACCAAATCTGTTTTTTTCTTGTGTGGTTTTTTTTTTAAAGGAAATAATGCACCCCGAAATATAAAACACTTAATGGTTATAAGTATGCTGATTACTTTTATCATGATCACACAATCAATTGTAGCTCTCTTTCAAGAAAACACTTTATACAAAAATAACTGAAGTCAAATATAAAACCTTCCAAATAGTCTAAGAGCATGCATTCATGTAAAAAAGCCCAATTTATTTTTATACTGTGCTGTGCTAGCATGTTATTAGTCATCTTGTTGTGACTATATGCATAATTTCCTGTATTTTATAATCTTGAAGTACAAATCAGTCATATTTGTACTTAGGCAACCTGAGGGTCAGGTACAAGCTTGCCATCTTTAAACACCTCCCTACTGCCATAGTGTAAAAACATTAGCGGGGAGGTGGGTTTTAACACATAGCCATTGGGCGCTAAACTCTGTGTATCAAGACATCCTTCAGATGAAACAGTAGCAAACTTTGGGCAAAATATATATTTTGAAACACGACTAGAGTAAAACTAAAACACCAAATATACAGTATCTAGTATCTTAACTGAAATTTTTAGTGATGTTGTAAGTCAAATCTCCTTCCACCTAGAAAGCAGCTTCAAAAGTTCTTTATCACTGTAATGGGAAATGTGTGCTCCCAGGTGAGACATCTCCGTTCCTATGCTATGCAGTCATCAATGAGAAAAACAGACATAGATGGGTTGTGTACACCCAAGTATGACATAGTTGAATATGGAAGCTGCTTCAAGCAAACCAGTCAGTTTCGAGAAACATATCAAATCTGAATTTGAGTAGACTAAAGTAGCCTATCTACACATCTTAAGAGCTTACAGCTTGTAGGAGTTTGGCCTTTAGTCAAAGAAGCTAACTTTAAAATAGACCTTTGGGAATTGTAAGTGAAGGAGAAAGGACTGGTCCCCAGTATTGCCTGTAGGCTACCTATAGTTGATTTTCCTTATTACTGACTTACTATGCCTGCAGGTCTTCAGGTACAGCTTTCTCTCCAGCAAGCATCACTGTTTCACTGCCACTCTTGTGAGACTAAAAGACATAGGCAGCAGTACTATATATTCACACTGAAGATTTAACGCTATGAGGCTGAAGGCACAGGAGTGCATTGGCACAGGAAGTAAACTGATATTTTACAGGGGGAATCCAAGGCAAATTGTAGATTTTTCAGAATACTGCTCAGGCACAATTAACAATTCTAGGTGTTTCTTAAAAGATAACAACTTTTCACTCTTTGAACTTAGATCCTCTTTACTATCAGGGTCAGGCATTTGCTGCAGATTTATAGCATTCCTGGGTTTTGATGGAGCATAGAACCCAAAGAGCTTTGAGCATTAATTAACAAAAGTATCATGATATAATATCCAAACCTGGAGATGTTGGGAGTTATCCAGCATATTTTCATCCCTTCGACGGCCATCGTCCCCCATTTGAGTGTTCTTTTTCTTCTCTATTTGCTGATTGTGCTTCAGATTGGTCACTTTCTTATTCTGGTCTTTCATAAGCCTGAGAAAAAGAGGAAACATATAATAGACTAATGGGTCTATTTATATAAAAATGAGCTGCCTGGATGTATCAGCATTCACACAAAAGTCGTAAATATATATGTTAGAAGGCTAATTGATTAGCCTGTATTTGTGGGAGGAGTCCGTTCCCTCCTCTCGCACATAAAACGGGTGCAAGTACCAGTACTCGTACTTGCAAAACTGGTATCTGTGCATCCCTTTATTTATATTTATAAAAACAAAATCGTACATTAAAACAGAGATGTACAAATCCCAGGAGCTCCGTGTGCTCCTTACAAATGACAGCTGCCTCCTAATTTTTGAATTTTTCTCTAGTGTAGTCTTGGAGCTCAAAAGTATCGGTACATGTACTCGTACTTGTACTGAGTACTGTACTTGGTATCTGTGCAACCCTAGTGTTAACTATTAAATGTGTTATTGTGTGAATTTCTCTGTCAAATATAACTGGAGTAGTAGATGCAACATATTACAAGAACATTCTATCCTGAGATAAAATACCTAATAACATTTGATCAAATAAGAAAATACCCTAAGAAAATTTGATCCTAAGAACAATCAATTAGAAAACACCCCAATAACATTTAATCAGAAGAGAAAATAGCTTAAGAACATTTAACTTTTCTCCATTCGCACCGCAGCTATAGCTTTATACACTATCAGGAAAATCCCTAACACTTAAATTAATACTGGTTAATTAGCACAGAACAAATGTACAGGCAGTTTTGCTGGACAAATAACTATGTGGATCTTTAATAAATAGACCCCTAAATGTAGGCAGAAAAAAACAAAAGAAATGTCTTATAATTTTTGGTATTCTGCTTTAATAAAGACAGCTAAATTATGGCTAAATACGATTATGAATATTGGGCAACATAGGCATGTTTCCCATTCCATAAACCCAGAGCCTGACCAGGCCTTTGATGGCTGAGACTACCACCAGGTCAGGCACGTATGACTCTCCTCTTCTCCCCGATCCTCCAGGCTGTGGGTGGTCCCTCAGCAGCATCACATAGAGCCCTAGAGAGGATGCTTTGAGGGACCAGTCACACAAATAGAGGAAGACTACCAGAGCAGGGAAAAAGGTAGGTATTACTCCTCATTCCTCTAACATTTGGCAAAAACAAGCATTTGGTTAAACAAGCATTTAACCCCTTGCAGGATGACAAAGCCCCACTGCAAGAATATTTTTTTGTAAGCCCAGAGTTTAACTTTAAAAAAGTCACATATTTCTTATTTCCTATAAAGCAAAGAACTTTGACAACTTTGACAATGACAATGCTTGTATTAATCCTAAAAAAAAATAAAACCCATAATAATTTGCAGCATAAACATTCTTTGGAAAATAAGGGGTATGTATGACACATGACTAGTTAGATAATGTTTTCAGCTTACACACTGCCATCTGATTAGAAATATACACAGGGGAGAATACAGTATACAGAGATCTCAGTATAATAGATCTCATTATAGCCCTATCTGATTTTAGGCTTCAACATACAAGTTGCTGGTGAAAATGACAATTCCTCTCAGACTTTTAAGAGAGTGGAAGCAAAGTGTATACATTTAGCTGCAATGAAAATATACATGTGGTTTTAAAGAGAGAAGCAGCCTGCCCATTAGAGGTGCTGCAATCCCAGAGTCCAAATCAGTTTATTTAGCAGTTCAATTTGTGGCCAACATTCCTGGTGCCACTGCTGAAATCAGAGACTTTTGGGGTGTCTTCAACTTAATATGGTTACTCATCATTAGATGTGAACTTTGAGAATTCCCTTCTACCGAGTTACAGTTCACTTTGTTTCCCCTTAGATTTTTTTTTTTTGAACAAAAAACAAAATGAAAGTTAAAAAGAAAAAGAACTTCCAAGGAAAATGGTTTTTGTGTCTCAATAAAGATGTCAGCTGCAAACCTCAGTGTTTCCTTCCGTATGGTCCAATATATTCCATCTGATAATCTAAAGTGCATTTGCCTCTTTGCAACAACCATAATGGTGCAAAGATAAATGCTATAAAATTATCCACACTGCAAGTAATTTCTCATTATTAAATAAGATCTAAAGTCTTTAAAATCTCATGGGAGCTTAAACGCCTTAATGTCATTTAAAAAGATGTTTTCAATCTTTTTAAATCATTAAATAGCTTTCATTAAAATAATGCCAAGTGATTTTGCCATTAATATACTCATTTAGCCACTTAGGGTGACAAAGCTCAGTCCCTGTCTCCCAGGCATAGTCCACCATTGTTATTATAGTGAAGCTGGTTCAGAACAATGCATACTTCCCAACGTTGTGAGATATGAAAGAGGGACACCTTCCAGCACAATGTATTTAGGCAATGGACACACCCCTGCCACACCCTCAGTTATACAGACCATTAAGTAATTATATTGCAAAAAATGATTGGTTAAACCCAAATTGGTTCACCATTACTGTTCCTTTATACTGAATTCTCAAAATAGCAAATAAGGTAATTAGAAGATATGATAAAGGTTTTAGTGCATCATATAACTTTAGTGCAGTCAGAAAGTATTCAGACCCCTTTCACTTTTTTTTTTTCAATTATGTGATGTTGCAGCTTGATACTACAGTTGTTTAAATTCTTTTATTTTTCTCATTAATCTCCACTCAGTACCCCATAAGGACAAAGTGAGAACAGAATTTTAGAAATGTTTTCAAATGTATGAAAAAGGAAAAACTGAAATATCACATGGCATAAGTATTCAGACCCCTTTCAACAGCACTTGAAATTTAGCTCAGGTGCTTCCTATTTCTCTTGATCGTTGCTGAGATGTTTTTATACCTTGATTGGAGTCCACCTGTGGTACATTAAATTGATTGGACATGATTTGAAAAGGCACACACCTCTCTATGGAAGACCTCACAGCTGACAATGCATATTGTATCAGAGCAAAAGCCATGAGGTCAAAGGAACTGCCTGCAGAGCTGAGTAGTATCAGGCTGCAACATAACAAAAATGAAGAAAGTGAAGGGAGTCTGAATACTTTCTGAATGCACTGTACATTGCCTTTGTATGCACTTTAAATGAAACTATGTTCATGAACTGTTGTGACAGAAAATTCACTTAAAAACTGCCACAATTTTATTCTCCAGGGTCACTGCTTTCAGAAAATATTGAATGTGATGGAGGTTTTAAGTAATGTTCAGGCGCATTTAACATGTGAGCAAAAAAATTATTCCCCTGGCAACTGGGGCCAACTTTATAACATATTGATAGGCCTCTTCCCTCCCATCTCTAAAGCCGCAACTGAAAATAAAACATGAGGGTGTTAGGATTCTGCACACACATTGGACTGCCCTAACATGTCTATGGGAAGCCTAACTCTTTAGCTACTGTGTTATACAGTCTGTGTGGCACTTGTTTGGCAACACTTTTTTCATATTTTTCTAAAGCTATTTTACTAACCCGAATTACAATATGAAATACTGTATCTCCAACATGAAAATTTGGTATGCGACATGTTTCAAATTCTACATAATTTAGTTCAACAAATTATGGAAAAATGCACTCCAATAATGCATATTTTGAAGAAAAAAAAATATCACATACCGACATGCAGTATTAAACAGAAATTGGTCAGCTAGCAATAAAGTACAATTTTTTGGGGGGACCAGAAAAAGGCCAGAAATAGGTGACGCATGTCCCATCATTCACAAGGCTGTTCATATGACAAAGAGCCTGTGCTACATCAACATTACATCATCGGTGAGCAGTCTCTTTTTAAAAGACTCGGAACTGGGTGATTTCTTGTGATGTGTCAAATGAAAGAATATGCAATCATCATAGCACATACTTGAAGAAAGAAGCATTTAAAAGCCCAGGTCCATAGAATTCCCATCTGTCTAATTTATCTATTGCATTGGCGGATAATTCCAGCTGAATACGGAATAGGAAAGACTGTTTATTTTACTTGATTAGAGTGTTTGTCTTCTGCTGCTGGGGTCTGTTTTTCCTCCAATATTCTGCCTTTTATCTCTATTTATTTTTCTCGAAGGACCTCTTGCCGCTGCCGGCCTTTGTCAAGAATACGGCTAATGTGTATGTACAAAGAAAGATGGAACAACTACAAGGCCATAAGATAGTTCTGTATGTGGTGCCTGATATATACCTAAAGTTTATTTTCACATTTGTCTTCAAATGTATAGGAAATCATAAAATTGGAATTCTTACTGAAGAATTTTAGTTGCTTTATCTGCGTTCTTTTGAGTTCTAAACATAAATGATAGCCGCTGTTAAAGAGAACCCGTTCCTATGTAGCAGATATAAAGCTGTGAGCTTTGAGTAGGGAATAACAGATATTTCTCTTTGTGTATTTTGAATGTGTCAATCCTAAATCCCACTTCCTTCCGGTATGCATTCTACCATGACAATGCTAGCAGGCTAGGTTGTGGGAAAGTTAATCCATAGCCTTGAGATGGTATTTGACAATGCAGGAACTTTTAGATAAATTTGGCAACAATCCTCACATCTATGGGTAGTCAAAGACAATTGTTCTACAAGTTGGGCTTCTTGAATATTTTCAACCAAAAGCTATAGTTGCAAGCAGAGCTAATGCTTAGAGTGTCTAGCCATGATGCTGCATGTCTGACCACCATATACAGTAGGATTGTTAAACGTCCTAACGTTTACAGATCTTTAGTGGATTGCCTAATATGTTCCTATACACCTTTCACCAGACTGTCAAGATCATTGTGTTCACCAGTCCTATTAGATAGCAGTATGACATTAGAAGATGCCAGTAGCTCAGTTTTACTTTACACATGAATAGCTAGGAAAGGAACAGCTAAAAGAAAATTGTGACGGACCCCCGTACTCAGGATGAGTATGTCCGCCGCTGTCTTCTTCCTTGCTCAGGAGATATTGGAACCTGAAGATCTGTAGCTCCCAGTTTCCCCAGTCACTAGCCAAGGCTTGAGTGTAGGGTAAACAAACTCTGATTTATTGAGCAACTGCACAAACTTATAAA